CAGCGCGACTCCTCGCGTTTCCCAGAAAGAAGAGCAGACCCGCCTTCGCCTGTTCCCTGCCCGACAGATGGTTTCAGCGACTCAGCTTCCCCGCACACTTGGCGGCTGGAGGCGGACGCCAAATCGGTGGCGAAGAAGCGCCTACGGGGTCCCTGCGCCCTCCCGCTTCTTAGCAACAGACAGGAGCACAGCTGGACACGCAGCCTCCCCCAGCTGTTCCATGTTTTTAGAGCCGGGGGGGGGAAATCCCCCCTCTCAAAGATGAACATCCAGTGGCGACCAGGGACCGATGGACGTCGACGCCTCCCCCTCCCTCTGGCTCCACAACGACTCAGCCCGAGCCCTGCCAGCTGGATCTCACCACCACCCCCACCACCACCGCATCGCTCCTCCGCGTTCCCGCAGCAGCCAGCTAGGGATCCGCGCTCAAGGTCATGCCAAAAGCCCGAGCCACCACCCAGGCTCTCCCCTGCCGGAGAAGCGAAAGGGCGTACCGGATCCACGCAGGCTGGCCCTACAGGTCTCCCCCACTCCATCGAGCCTGCCAGGATGAGGCTCGCCGGGCACTTCCGCCGTCACTGCCGCTTCCTCCTCCCGCTGCTGGGCCGCCGGGGGACTCGACGTGCCCGGAGGCGATGGGGACCCGCCGCTGGCGCTGGCGCTGTCCTGCTCCCAGCCGTCCCAAAACCAGGGCCGGTGCGCTTGTTCCAGAAGGCGCCGACTCAGGCGGTAGCGCAGCAGCTCCTGGTAGCAGGGGCCGCAAGCCTCCCATTTGGGCTCTTTGTAGCGCTTCATGTACTCGCTCTTCACGCATCGCGCTGGCACCATGGCGGGTCGATGAAACCTGCCCCGCGGGGTCGCCCTCGAACCAGGAATCGCTCACCGGCTGACCCAGCCCTCCCCCGGGCTCTTCGCCCCACCCTCCCGCTGGAACGTTTAAACACAAACAGCGACGCTTGCGTCCGCCTCCTCCCTCTTCAGCCAATCAGCGAACGAGCAAGGGGTTCTGTTGTTACGTCAGAAGCGAGCCCTTTGAAGCTCTTTAAAACATCAAAGAAGGCACCTTGCTATTGGGTCCAATCTAAGGGGTGAACTGCGGCTTCAGTTAATATTCCCTGTAACCTTTTCTGGGGTGGGGGTGGGGTGTGTGTGCGCGCGCGCCGGGATTTAATTTTTTCAAAAAGGTCTGCGTGGGTGATGCTCCTTCTGCAGTGCCTTTAGTCATACACTTTTAGTCACCCACCAACTCAGTTGTTCAGCAAACCACCTTATACACGCGATCGCAGAAGGTGCAGTTCTCTGCAGGCCTATGTACATTTCGTTCTATCCAGCTCTCAAAGTTATGGCCACAGCCCCTGTTCTCCGGCAGCTAGGAGGGGGAGCAGGGGGAAACGTTCCTTTGCCTCCCTGAGCCCTGGGGTGGTGCCCTCCGACTCCTAGGGGCAAATTCCACCTCTCCAGTGAGAGGGCCATGGGAGAGACCAAGCTGGCTCCCCCAGCTCTCAGGAGGGGCTCTTTAAAAAGTTATGGCCGCGGCCTTCTCCGTGGCAGCTGCAACGTTTGTGCGGGGGGGGGAGGGGCTAAACGTTCCCTTGCCTCTCTGAGCCGGGATGGGGGCCTTGGACTCCTAGGGGCAAATTCCACCTCTCCCGTGAGAGGTCATTCTGGCTCCCCCCGCTCTCGGGAGGGGTTCTTTAAAAAGTTATGGCCGCCGCAGCTGTTCTCCGCGGCAGCTGTGACGCTCACACATGGGGGAGGGGCAGGGCAAAACTTTCCCTTGCCTCCCTGAGCCCTGGGGTGGTGGCCTTGGACTCGTACAGGCAAATTCCACCTCTCGCATGAGAGGTCATTCTGGCTCCCCCAGCTGTCCTTAGGGGCTCTTTTAAAAGTTATGGCCCTAGCAGCAGCTGGAACCATGGGGGACTGCTGAGCTGTCTTCCCCACCTTTTTCAGGCTCCGGGCCTGAAAAATGGCCTGCAGAGCCGCGCCGCGCCCCGCCCTCCCCTCCTTTTTCAGGTTCTGCGCTAGAACACCGGGCCTGAAAAAGGGCCAGCCGAATGTCAATTTCGGCCCGATTATATCCTATGGGCCATTGAAGTTAATGGCAAAAACATAGGGTATATTCTGGTGGCTGGAGAGGAGGGAGTTTGAGGGAGAGGCTCCAAACGTGCAGGGTAGCTGCTGGAGCCTCTCCCCAAGATACCAACCAGGTTTGAAGAACATTGGACCAGGGGGTCCAATTCTACAGGCCCCCAAACAGGTTGCCCCTATCCCCTCCATTCTTCTCTATAGTGGGAAAAAAGTAACTTTTTCCCCCAGCATAAAGAACAATGGAGGGGATGGGGCAACCTGTTTGGGGGCCCATAGAATTGGA